TGTTACAGCAAAGAAAAAGAATTGACGTTTAGAACTGCTTAGAATTCACAGAAGGATTCGAGATCGAGACGTTTATATTTCAATATATTTAATGTTTACTTTCTCTCAACGTTTTGAGAGATGTATTGTTTTTACTTTTTTAACAAGAATTCCTGTTAAGAAATGTCGTTTAAGTAGAAACTTGAATCAATGGCAAAGATGTGTGACTGTGCATAATTGCAAAAAACTCATTCTCTTTAATGAAACAACTTTTTGTAGAGGAGGAAGGGTATCCTGTAGCTCAGACATCGAAACCGCTCCGTCGCAACTCCAATTGATATTCTTTTAACCCAGTGGATCCTGAACAAGCTAAACGTTACTGGCAATGATGAAGTCGTGTCTCAAAATAGAGACGTAGAGCCAATTCCGGCGACCTTCATTAAAATTTAACGGCCCTTTAATTCGTACACGAGTGTTCATGAAGAACGGTTTAAGGGCAGGCTGAAAGGGAGGGTCCTGAAAGGGTCTTATATTGGAAATTATATTTGGCCGGTCCGTAAATAAGTAAACGGCTTGAAATAAATAAATAAAGACCAATATGTATGAAATACACCAATGGTGGGGCAAATAAAAGTTCGTACTCTTCGTTTCAAAACGGCACAGGCATGTTCACAGAAAAGGTAATGCTAGAAACACGGTCACATAGTTTACTGCATAAACTGACGTTTATAAATTTTGACATGTCAACTATCGCTTGTTTTGTCAACTAACATGTTCATCGCTATCGAGATTGAATATTAAAATATTATTTCCAAACTTTAAATGTCCATAGCTCGGTAACCATGGTGGATTGAACCCATGTATATTATAACTTTTTTATTCAGAATTATTTCAGCGACTTGCTCCTTAAGTTTGTCTATTATGGCAAACAACATCCAGTATAATGACAGAAAGGGATTTTTCTTTCAGTGATATCTTTCCGATGTTATTGCTTCCTAAAAAATTACTGCAGGAGCTGAATTTTAGGTATTTAGCAACTAGACCACAAAAAGTAGTAGAGGAGTATATAGAAAGGATACTAAAGGACAACATAAGACATTTAAAAATATCCTCATTTCATTGTATATGTTTTTTTTTTGCGAAAACAGTAAAATATTTCCATCGTTGATTATTTGTTTCTAATGAGATTGGGTTGTCTATCTTGGAAAATAGATTTTTCCTTTTATTTCCAAGCTTTCATAATAATCGATTTCATTACTTAAAAGAACACTTTCTCAGTTTTTGAAAGGCAGAGTTACAGAATAATAGACTGGCACCATTTATAATAATTAGTCGCTACCAAAAGTTTGATCCTATTTTGGCAAGTAAAGCTTAATTTGCATTGATTTGAAATTGTAATTTCGGCACCCTTCTCAGAGGTGTTAAATCGTTAGCGTAAATAATGAACTCTATGAGTGTTACTTTCTCGAAACGTTCTTATTCGTTAAAACACAGTAAAGGTTTTAAAATAAACTTTCACAGTCATCTAATTTGTAGATTTGTGTCTACGACTGTAGCGTGTTCGTTAAAATGTATCTTAAACTTTTTGCGTCCTTCCAACTGGCTTCAAAGGACTTAATTTGTGAAACACCTCTTTATCATCCCGTATTACTGTGGTTTTCATAGTACTCTTATTACCGTGGTTTATTGTTTACATCAGTCTTACAACTGTTCAAAATGAGTTATATTACAATGCAGAATCATTTTAATTTATAGCGAAGCAAAACAAAATGCATTAGCAGCTTCTCGCTAGCATGCGGAATGTTGTACGGGTACAGATGTGGCTAAATATGCCAGTGCCGTGTAGATAAATATTTGAAATAGCCCTTTAAATTAACAATTAACAAGTTAAGTTTAATATTAATTTTCACAATTATTCATTCCATTTTATCCTTAAGATACCATCATCATCGTCATCCTTATTCAAGTTTATCCATATGGTTATTTTATTATAGCAATAAACTGTTCGACATACTTTTACATTCATAAACATTGCCAAGTAGTACCTGCGTATGTAGTTCATTAACATATTGCAAGTGAAAGTGTGGCTGGTAGTTTTTTCTCTTATATGTATTTGTGTTGCAATTCGCGAGCCTACCGATTTGGAACAGATGTTAGAAAAGCTGCCCGTTCAGGGTCGGTCGCAGATAACTGCAAATAAGTCGGTCTAGGACGGCAAATTTGCAGGGATTTTTTATCGGGTTTGCAATGACAAATTGCTCGTTTTGCGGTGTTTTGATCTGTGTTGATATAATTTTATATACAGGGTGCCCCAGTTTTAATCTGTATCTGTCAGACTTCGAGAGCGAATAGAACAACAAAATAATAGTACACTTCGTTTGATTCCCAATTACATTTTAAATAAAAAATACGTTCTTCATTTGTTTCCAAAAGCAAATCATTTACTAGTTTTTTTTAGTCCAAAGTAACCATACCAATTGAATAAAAAGAAAATAACCAAACTTAGTTCAAATACTTCTATTATTTCAGGAGATACAGTAAATGAATATCCCTGTATCCTGAAAATGGCTGAGATTTTGAATTATTAAGTTCCTAAGACAAAATTGGGATAGATCAAACTGGGACACTCTATATGTATAAAGTGACTACGTCGTGAAAAAAAACAAAAAAAATAAAAATATACTCGCAGAATAAAAGCTGAATCGCAATTCTTCTTAGAGAAATTTGTCTACGTTCGTCTGTATTTGAAAACAAACTCTATTAATTTCAATCTCTACAGACATATATATCGTTAAGTTCTAAGTTGTAGTGGGTCCTCCATCATTCACTGTCACGACAACCTGGGAACTTAATCGCTGTGCAATTGCTGAAATAAGTTGCCCTTTTCATTTTTTTTAGTACGAGTCGCCCGAAAAATTATTTTGCTGTAATCATAATACAATCTATACCTTTAATAATGTAGTAGACATGTTGAACACTGGTGTATTCAAATCAAAACAAAATAAAAATGAAAAAGTTTTAAATTTTTCAAATGCACATTCCATAATATCTCTAATAAATTTTTCAAAAATAATTTCGAGGTTTTAATAAAAAGTATTTGTTACTATTTTTTTTAAAGCTCCGTGTTTAATTCATAAATCCGGTCAGTGACCTCTGACCTTAACATTTAAGTGAAGTTCGAGTATACTACTGTCACTTTACATATTCCAACGAAGTAAACAATTGCACACAACCACGCCGTGATAATAAGAGTAGACAGAGACGCATATAGAAAAGTTCAAAACAGGTACTATTAAAAAGTTATAAAATTATAAATAAAATACGGATATTTTTTACTGTATTTTTCTTATTCAGCCACTTTATCAGCCGAATCGCTACTAAACATCTTAAATTGATTCAAAACAGCATAAATAGCGACAAAATTGAGCCGCGAATGATACGCACGTAACGAAATTTTATTGTAGGTACCTGATCACTGTTTGCACGATGTTTATCCATATAAATATTCCCTCTTTCAAAAAATACATTTTACTTCATTTTCACATTCGCTAAATCGGTACCGTTTCCAGTCGTTAATCTTACACATCATCTGCCTCCATTGAAGTGTAACTGATTGATATAAATAGTGCCTTAATGTTCTCGCAGGGGTCTTGCTGTACGGGGTTAAATTACGTGTGAAGATGAAGCCGAATGTAATTCGCCCGCGTAACTTTAGACGTAAACGTTCTGACGTAATAACTTAAGATTAATAATGGCCCATGTTTCGGGTGAGAGGTTTACCAGAACTGTCAGGATAAACTATGCTCAGGTTGATGGTTCTTGAGAAATAAGATCTGGTAATTAATATGGCGGCGGGGATGGTATTAATCCCCAAGTTTGCGCGAAATGCTACTGGAAAGTGAAAAATTGTTAGGCACCAGGCTGATGTATGCCTGATGGCAAGTTTGGAGCAGTTGAGAGGTTACTATTTCAAGATGTTGTTCTGGAAATTAAACAATGTCAGAATTGATCATTGATCATTGGTTTTTTCATCTATTCCTAATTTATGTACGTTTTTTAAGAGGCATATATAGCAGTAGAATCTCTGGTTGGTTAGTTTTAATCCCTTGTCTCGGTTGAAGTCATCTTGATTCTTCTGGAGCTCGTTTTCCCTTACCAGATTCTGGTATTAATGAGGTGTAGTTAGGGTTAGGTCAGTTTTATCTTGACGAGGATCTAGGACAGACAAGGTACCATTTTCTTCCATGATTATGACGTTAATGATGTCATTGATGCAGTTCAGGAATTCTTCTATTTTATTATATCTATGAGACCAGATAGTCAATATGTCATGGTCTCTAAATAAGAAGAAAGTGCACACTTTTGCCAAGTGGACTAAATTCTCATCTTTGACTTTTGCGATGAGATTTCGATGAAGTTTTTTCAAGGCTTTCTTCATTAATAGGTACTTTTGTGAACAACGACTTATTCCTAAGGCGATATTGTCATTATCTTCTTCTTGTTTTATGTTTGTTACATATTTCGTTGTGCTCAATAACAACTTTTTGTATGAATCTACAAGTATTTATATAGACAGGGATAAATATTTACTCCCAAAGTTCATGAGGAAAGAGATACACTCACTAGAAGTTGCTTCCGTCTGGGAACTTGGGGAATAACGAAATAGATTGAAACCTTTCTAAGCAGTGGGATTAATCCGATTTGAGTGGATTTTACGTGCCCAATCCTTCCCGGCGCGTTACTGCGACAGATGTGGATAAACACGACAAACAGTGTTAAATACTTGACGAGCACGTCAGAGGAATCTCGCTGCTCTAATCTCTCTCAGAAATAATAAATGAACTTCCTGACAGTTCGATAAGCTTCCGTTTGTTACCTACTTGTTACTTAATGGAATATCTTTAATGAAACTATTTCAATAGTGACACAAATAGTTGTTTATTGTAAATATCAAACAATATTTTTTCAAACCATAGTTAAAATTTTCGGAAAAAATGAAATGAAAAATTTTTTTTTTTCAGATGTAAGCTCGGAACAGATGCTAGTGCAGAGGCTGGCCGAGCTGCAAGTAAAACTGCAGTACCTGGACTCCATGTATAGGGCGAGACAGGAGGACCTCCAGCAGCTGACCCAGCACATCGACCAGATCGCCATCCCCAACGACAACACCACCACGCTGATCCTCCCGCCGCAAGAGCTGCGCCCCGAAGTGAAACAGCTGATCAAGAACATGTCGGGCATGAGCGCGGCTACAGGAATCAACCCTCCCATCATGCTGCGGTTGCCGTCGTCCTACCACTTCCTGCCGCACCTCCTTGACGATCCCTCCAGCCTGCGGCTGGCCTACTTGATGTCGAAGAACAGGAACGGGGTGTCGGTGGTGATGGGGGTGCCAACCGTCAAGAGGGAGAAGCAAAGCTACTTGTTGGACACTCTGCAGAACTTAATCGAGGGGATGACTGCGGAGGAAGCCAACGACTCGCTCATTGTCGTCTTCGTGGCTGAGGTGAGGTTTAGTTGTTAAAAAATTAACAATAATTATATGAAAATATCATCATTCTTTCTTCGTTTGTTCTTTTTGCTGTTTTAAAAAATATATTGGAGTAAAAATTGTTCTGTTCTCTGTTCTTTGTAATGTGAAATGTAGACGACTCCAATACGTGATTTCTAGGCTTAAGACCCCTGTATTATATATAAATAGTTCGGTTTTATGACCTCCACGAGCACCTGACTTATATCGTTGCTGTTTTTTACTTACGGAAACACACAGAAACGAGTATACACAAATGAACAGTTCTCTCTATAATGAATCCATTTCCAATTAACAAATTTTCTTAATTAGTGCTTTTTAATGAAGTTCTATGATTACAAGAAGACAACGCCCAGTCGAGATACATTTTCCGTCTTGTATATCGTTACAGGAAGTAATTAATGAAGTATATCAAATACGGCTGAAATAACAGCAACGGCTGATGAGAAATTCTAGACTTGGTAATTTGATTTGACCCGATGGCTGTTAATGGAGTCGGCAGGAATTAATTCTGCGCGTTTGCTGTACCAAAAATATTGTTTCCTGTATGAGTCAAATATACAGAATGTCCCAATTTATAGGCGTAAAGACCTTAACATATTAAGTGAAAACCAAATGAAGTTGAAATACTTATTTGTTAAGTAAAAAAATGTCCTGAAAATTACGATTCCTAACCCTCAGTTTTTTAAATTCGTATTAACAATTTTCAATTCGAAATATAACACGTAGCTATTTATTCTACACTCAGTGGCTTGACTTACCTTAATTTTTTTTTAATGTTGATTGTCAACTGTGAAAGAAAATTTTGAAATGGTTATAAAAGTGCAAATTGCAAAAGTACTCTCAATAGTTGCTCCATTCCTGAATATCGCAAATCCAGAAGCATATACTGGACATTGTAAGAGCATTGTACTTATTTCCTTGATATTTTCTCACAGATCCGGTATTTTTATAAGTAAATTACTGTAATAATTACATAAACGTATGCAAAAATCATTGAACTAGATTGAGCTGACAGTTAAATTGTCGATAAATTGCACTTCACCTATATAATATATTCTAACTACAAGTATATATTCACGACAGCAAAACATTCGCAGTAATTGATTCTTTGCCATATGCATGTAATTGATGGACGTTACCTCGAGAGCTACTGAAGCCTTATATTCCACCTAGAATGCAATTCAGCGCGACAAGAAGCAAAAAAGAGAAAATGTCGTTAAGTCGAGCGCGACAAAAAAACTTCCCTGACAAGGAAGTGCAAAGTGAAACCAATACGGTTTTATCCGATATATTTAAAAACCAATATGTTTCTTGTCTACTGTTGGAATCGACAGGATTTAATATGTGTAGAGCCTATAATACTCCGTTTAGCTTTAACTGAAAGCGATTTACTGTTCCATGGGTGTTTTTTTTGTATTTTCGTTTTTGTTTGTTTGATTTTGTACACGTCTAGCAGTAGTTCCTACATAAAAACCAAAGTATTAGCAAAAATTTAGAGCAAATATTGCAGAGAATCGGTATAACCTGTAATATCATACAGGGTATTGTATGACGTTACAACTTTTTATATTCTATATTTTAACAAAATTTATCCTAACAACTCATATTTCTTATTCAATGTTTTCCATCTCCCATTGTTTCCGGAAATTTTAGAGCTCTGACTAAACATTGTGTCCCAAATTCCGAGTAAACATACATCTTTCTGAAAGCTCAACAGGTGGGGTAAGATAAAGTAATTCTGGTGATCAGCGGGCTGTTCCTGTAATATCCGCCATACATTATCGCAACCACAAAGCGCTTTCAATAGCAGAGAAATGCCGTTGCCGACTCGCGGTATTTATTGTAAAAAGGGTATAATTTTCCAATGAATAGCGGGCGCAGTTATGCATTTAATTTTACAGTAGTTGGTCGCGCTCGATTTGGCAGTCCAGTGTGGCGCGCGTCGTACTTTGGTCTGCAGGATACTGACAGGAGAAAGAAATGTTATTCTAGATTTATGTAAGACAGCTCCGTTGCTCGTCCCAGCTCGAATTTCGTGGCATTGCAGAAAAAATTTGAAAATTTAATGTAGCATATTATAATCAAACTTACGTTTCCTTGAAAGAAAATTGTAGCATGTGGGAAGTAGAACGATAGATGGAGCCATTTATGCTCTGTGGATACACATCTTTTTGTGAGTAACGACACTGAAGCAGCTGGATCGTTCTAACGACATAATGATGAGGACCATCAATAAGTTCCGAACCGACCTATGTCTGGTTGGCTAAACTTAAAAACGATCCTAGCTGTTGTACTAGGTATTACTGAGATTTTGAAAAACGACAAGATCTTAACATTCTTAACCGTATTTTTACCAGACAGGCATAATTGATTATGGTCTACACCAGCAAAATTAGCTTTTTTACCATTTTATTATTTATATACTTTGTGCCTTTCCAATAACGATATAATTTTTAGCACAAATTGTAATGTGCTGTGAGTGTAGCCTCCCGTATCAATTAATTAGCAGATTGTTAGAAGTTTGATTCAATTTTGTTTTAACAAGGATTTTTTATATTTTGTCAACGAGTAAAGTTGAAACAGTTTTTTTAGCTGCATTAATTTAAAATGAAAAAAATATTGAATAAAACATCATAAAGGCTGTTAGCAAAAAGATATTACGAACAAATTTCAAAAGAACAAATTGTGAATAGCCTATTGTATTGGAAATACAGTGGTTAAAAAAAAATATGCGAAAATCGCTATGAAATAGATACAAAACAAATCATCTACGCCTGAAAACCTCAAAATATTCAGTAGTACATGTAAAAAAATGATTGCTTCAAATGTATAACATTTGCTTTTAAGGTATTGCACATTTAAATATATACTATGATCCTCATCATTATGTGGTTAGGACGATCCAGCTGCTTTAGTGTCTTTACTCACAAGGAGTTGTGTAAGTGCTGGCTCCATCTATAGTACTACTTTCCACCTACGCCATTCTGTGACCTACAATTTTCTTTCAAGAAAACATAAGTTTGATTATAATATGCTACATTCGTCTTGAATAATTCCTAAATTAATACTAAATTTTAAATATATATTTTAAGGAACTGGTGGTTTTGAAACAAATATGTTTGCAGTTTATAATGAACTGTATTAGATATTGTAGCCAAAATCCGAGATAATAAATTTCAAAACTATAAAAAATTTGAATTAAATTATATATATATTTACAAATAATATAAATTCTAAGAAAAATTATAGATTACAGCAAATATTTCACATAGTTTGACGAAAGTATATACATTTGAACAGAATAAAACAACATTTACGGCAAATAATTCCATTTAAAACTAGTATCTGCTCATTTGGTCCAAACACTTTTTTTATACTGGGTATTATTTATTTCAGCAAAGACAAGATGCAAACCATAGAAGCTGCTTCTACTTTACCGCATCATAAATTAAATTATTGTACGAGCAACTGTAAACTCAAATCCGGTTGTTCGTGGCAACCGCACGAAAAGTAAAATGTCGACATGCATAAAATGGAGCGATTGCATTTTCATTTTATTCATCGACATTGTTTCGCTGGAACTCCGTATTTTAGAGAGACTTAAATTTAAACCAATCTACAAAAGCAGTACTTCACTCACTTGTATGGAAACAGCACCTTTGAGTTTTCATATGGGATATTACGTTTTACTTGACTTATTTCCGTGAGTAAAGTATGGGAAATATTCTGTCAATTGCGGAAATATAAATTCAATTCAAATGTAAGCTTATTTATGAACATTTTTTGTTCTGCTAAAGCCACCAAGTCATAACAGTTCGCACAATGTATTAGAAACGTCATAAATACCTAGAATCATTTCTGCAGCGAATTTCCAGTTGAATTGGTTTGGAAAGATAGATGAAAAACAAATCCTCCGAAATTGTTTCCAGATCCCGCATAATCCTTGCTGTGGAGAGTTTTTCAGCTCCAAAGGAAAATTATATTACGACGTACGGTTTGGGCGTCAACTATTGACGTTGATGACGCCGACGAAGTAGAAAAATCCTTCGAGGGTGAAAATATTTCCGACACAAACAAACCCTGAAAATCTCCGATGCCTAACCAGAATTTCCTTGCTTTTAGATAACAATATGGGTAATGGCTACATTCGAAATTTTTATAATAAATATTTACTGAAAATATAACGCGCGTAAAAATGTTTGTTCCTTGAAACTTATTTCCATAGCTATTATTAAATTTACTTAGTATAATTATGTATATTTGCAGAAAACAAGTAACGAGGTATGTAAATAAAATGATTTGAACATAAAATTATTGTGTTATTAACACAAATTACGCTTACATTTTGTATGTAATGTAATAGGTTTTTAATAATGTGATAATGTGTTGGTTATTTGTTGTTAGTAAAAGTATCAGTTGTACAATTCTAAATAATATATATGAAGAGAGAAATAAAGTATCTCTGTAAGAGAAATATACACTTCATATTGTTAACTATAAATAATGAAATGAGATGATAAATGTTCAAGAAAACGTTTTGAAGATTTATGACTCATTTTCAAATAGGATGTTTCCTATTCAAGAGCTTATATTTCCATCTGTTTCCCAATTGACATGTCACCGATCCGTGAAAGGAAAGTATGGACTGGTACTTGATGGTATAGTGGCAATTGTATGTCATTGGGTGCCGCAGTCAACTCTAAGAGAGTAGTCCCTGGTTTTACCAAACATGGCACCTGTCTCGGTTACGTTTGTTATGTAAAGAAATCTGGTCTTACCGCTGTGACACAGAATCGGTGATTTTTACCCGTAACCAGCGGTATTTTCCACAATTTATCCATTCATTTGTTTTTTATAGGCAACATATTTTACTGGTGTATTAAACTAGAGAAGGTGAAGGTCACTTAAGTGTAAAATTTCCACAAATAAGTGTACTTATGCTTTAAATTTTTTTTGCTCCGCTATTACAAACAGTTTTAAAATAACTTTCTAATATCATGCAGCAGTTGCTTATCTAAATGAGATTGCTCTGCAGTTTTTTATGTTTGATGATGGAATATTCCGTTAGGGGTGGGTGAAAAGGTCGACCTTTCGCAACAGTTAACATCATGTTGATAAAATTATCTACGAGTTCAAAACTACCAGCAACGGGTTACAAATTACTGGGTAATTTGAATTGACTCGACAATCTAGTTTAGCGGAATCAATAAAATTTACACCGTCCAGTCTCATGGCATCCCAGTCTGTTCCGACATGCCTAAAGAATTAATTCAAATTAAATCCATAACGTGTTTTGTCCGAAAATGACATGTTCTCTATGAACGTGTTTATTCAAACTCTACAGCGACGAATGGATATTATAGACAAAGAGTCAAAATTACGGTTTTTTTGTCAGAGAAAGGCAAATTATAACTGAAGTTGTTAAAATCTATCCTGATTTTGATGGTAGATTGGACACACTTTTGCAGTCTTCTGTAGTTGTAGAAATAAAAGGGTAAAACTACTTCAACCTATATTTAAAACAAAGCAAAGAAATAATCCTATCTAGGACAATATTTATTCCTGTGTATCTAATGATTTATAATCACAAGTGTATATTCATTAACTTTTATCTCGCCAAGGTTATTCGACTATAATTATTCTAATTTAATAATATCAGTTACAGTTTCTGCAATCGCGGTATTTAATTAAGTTGTTATTGAAACCGAATCTGTTTTTATGTCTTTTTTGTGTTAACCTTGATGATAATTTTTTTGACTGCAAGGATTAAAGTGCCTCAAAATTTGTTTGTTTCTCATTTATTTATTCTGTTGGTACTGTTAAGTATATTCAAAGAAAACATACATGTAAGTCGGCTGTGCTGTAATAAATTAGAATGAGCAATAACTTCAACAAGGACTTAATCATCTCTGATAACATATCAAGGAATTAATTGTCAATCTGGTATCTACGTTAAAACTGATGCAGAGATAAAAGCGACTGAAAAATTTGACATTGAGATGACTTTCGCGGAAATAGAGTATAGATTATCAATCAGAAACGGTATGTCAAAGAGAAATATAGACCTGAAATTCGTTTAAAGGAAAATAAATGTCCAGAGGGAACGATCTAACAGAGGCATTTTTCATCACATATACGTTTAATATGTCATAAAACAAAGATAGAAAAACGCTGAAATAAGTTTTATTTCTAAGGTAACAACTTATTGGAGCATACGCTTCAGGCCCATCTGAAGAACTTGTATATCCTCTGAAGGTTACCGATCTTATAATAGTTATTACTTACACCATAAAGATGGTGTGTAACATTTTATCTGCTCCCACAGTTCTTTATGGCTCATTAAATAAAGATTAGGTTTTATTTTTTGACATTTCCTAACCAATTCATTTCAGCAAGAATACCCTTTCTATAATTCCTAATAAGATTGCACAGTTTTTGAGACTAGAACATCCTGAAACATATACAGGCCATTAATTCCGAATAACATCGGCAACGTTACTGGCTAAAACAGGAATTGATGTATTAGCAATCAAGAGACATGGTGGGTGGAAACCAGCCACAACTGCAGAAAGTTATGTTGCTGACAGTTTAAGAACAAAAATGAAATAGCCAATAGGATTCTTTACAATGACACTTCAACTCCAGGTTCTAGTACGTCGCATCATGCTGTTTTAATGGATTAGTCAGATAATATTGAGCCTCCGGTGCCTAAAATGGAGCATTTTGAGGAAAATGTGACAATTAGTAAACGCGAGGAGAATAATTATCCAGATTTTATAAATGTTACTAAATGTAATAACTGTATAATTACTACAAATATTTCTATTTATTTGTTCATACCTCCCGTTGTCCATAGCAACTTCCACTTCTACGGTAAAATCCACTTACCTCCTTAAAAACAATGCATCAATAGTATATTTAATATAGTGGGAGCAGACAAAAATCTTTTCTTAATATAGTGAATAACCCCATAGTGAGTATACTGACTCTACCCTTTCTTTCGTTCCCAACTGACCACTGAGGATCCCGACCGATCCAGACGTTCCAGGTTATTAATTCCTCGGAACAATCGGCACCACTCCGACCAAATCACTCTCTGAAACCGGCGACGAGATACAAATTACTCTGTAATTTGAATCGACACTTCCCAGTCCGATAAATCACTGCAACTGCATAGAATCTTCCCTGCCATTCGTCCATTATCCTTGAACACGGAGCCCAGTCAATTCGCATTAAACAGTTGATAAATTATTAACGCTTCATTTGACAAAAGAGCCATCGAGGGGAAAATTGTCGACGCATATCAGCCTTTGGCAGCTTTTTTTATCTCGCTGTTATTTTTTTTAATTTACCTTAATGGCGTTTTACACAATTTATGATGTTAAAAATGTCCGTAGTAATGAAAATTATGTTCCTGTTTGATTATGATTTAATGATATTCCATGGTAAATCGCTTACATATCGTAAATGTTATTAATACCCGCTCATAAAAAATCCTTTTGAATCAAACGATTAATGGAACAGGATTTAACTTATATGCCAAACCGTGACTGTATTTAATAATTTGTGGAAAAACGCTCGGACACGTCGATTAGTATTTTTAGTTGCGGATTTTTTGACATAAGAAAATTGTATACAGGGTGTCTCAAGAAAAACTTATGCAGTACAATTAAAAAATGGCATAACATACCGGGTGTTTCATTAAAAAAAATGATGACTGCATAGTGTTCTTCTTGAGACACCCTGTATACAATTTTCTTACGTCAAAAAATCCGCAACTAAAAATAATCGTCGACCTGAATTATAAACGAATTTGTTCCTTTCATCATGAAGAGACTGTATATTATGAGACGAGATTTCAGGGTTTTGCAGCACCAAAACTGGAAAGAGTTGAATGTACATTAAACAAGGAAATAGCACCCAAACATTCTATTTTTAATTTTTTTTTAGTGGGCCAGCCAAGCGACCGAGACATAATCGCGTGGTCTCCAATTTCCGGTAAACACAGGAAATTACAAAACGAGATTAAATAACCAGATACTTCCTAATACTATTAATACTCCGCTAAGCCCAACTTTAATCCATTTACAGGGAAACCTCACTGGAAATACGCGAAAACGGGGAAAGAATCAAGTGTCTCCAGCTGGAAGTCCCACGCCTTTTTTATATTTTATCATTCCCTCCAGGAAGCCGAAAGCTATTTTTCCACATCCATTATTTAATTTCATTTATATGCCTGGAACAGTATCCCCGTCATAACTTCAGTTGTTCATATCTTTTTGATGTCGGTGAAATCTCGCAATAAATTCGTCCTTTGCGGTGGCGGCTCCTTAAGAACGTCTGTTCTTAATGAAAATTCCTTAAATATCTCTCTTTCTTTTACAGACCGACCTGGAATACGTCCTGCAAGTTGCCAAAGAAATAGAAATGAGGTGAGTTACTGCTTGCTTTTTTTTGACATTTCTACCACTTCAACATTCGTTTAAATCATCATATTTCAATTGGGTACACCACAATTCACTAAAAATATCGATTTAAGACACTTAAAAATACTTAAAAGGGAAACACCGCACGCGATATTAACAAATCGATAAGGATTTATTGTAGTGTATAAGGATAGGTATTGTTTATTATTATTTTAACGCGAAAAATAATTTGGGTATGTTTCTGGAAAAAATATAAATAGTCATTTCTGTCAAATTCCAAAGATAATACATTCGATTGAAAATGTATCCTCGTAGTTGGCCCATACTATCGAGTTTGAGACACAATCCACTTAATATCGACGTTTTTGTACGATTCAATTTTATGGAAATATGTGCCGGGAAAGTTCCATCACGCTGGCTGTATTATATAACAAATGTGAAGTTCAAGGCATCAGAGTCGTACGCAACAATGGAAAACCTCGATTTCCGATGCTAAAATATGAGAAATATGGAGAACTCGACACCTTGATATTTACATGAAAGCACAAATACAATTTTACGTAACGTTGCCTGCACTTTTTTTTTCTTATACGTCATTACCAGTAAAATCTTGGAAACAATCGTTAAGGATTTTGAGGAAACATAATTTCCAGTATCAATTTTTGTTACGAAATTTTGAACAATGTTTAAACTGGAATCTAATGTGATTAAAATCAGTTCAAATATACAGCGTAGTTTTTAAATTGGTGTTTTCTATTAACTGGGGAATGAACTCGAAATAATAATATTTTTTCAACATTGTCTTTTTTTTTTAATTTACATAATAGCCATTTAAAGTAATTTGAATACATTTCTAATACCTACTAACAGTTTATGTACCAACTAACAGCTGAAAGTCCAAAATTTAGATATTACTTTACGACGCGACAAAAAGTGTAGTGAGTAGTGATTTGAAATTCAAACAATCCATTTCCCAAAATATCCCACATTTACAGTAGTGTTAAATTAACTGATATGATTTTAGTATATGGGGAGTGTCACCAAAATGCTGCCACAGCATCGCGGTTGTATGCTCAGCTCACTTTGTTGAGTTGTATGAAGGATTGAAAGAAAAACTAACTTAAAAAACGGCCTATATAAAGTAGTGAATCGGGTATAACGTTTATTAGTCAGTTTAAAAGTTAAAAATTTTGTCTTCAGATACAATGATACTCTTCTACTTATTGTTAGTGTCATTCAGAGGTCTGTTAAAAAAAAAATAACGTTAGCTAAACTGGTTAGGGCGTAAAACTAAATTACTATTTCCAATTTTTTGCGCAGAAACTTACCAATTTCACCGTTCTACCGCAAATTGTTCTTGATTACATATATTAGGAACAATTGAACGCTAGCGGCTTCAGATTTTGCCTTCCGGCAGTGTTTTGTTTGACTCTAATGAAACACTTTAACGTTATCTGCCCATCAACCAGTACGGGTATGCGTATTATTAGACATCTAGTGCCTTTAGATACTGTTCACTCTAGCTTCAAAAGAGACATTCGGCCACTACAATCTAGTTCGAAGAATTACTCTAACGCTTACTCTATACAAATCGTTAATTGAAACCATCATCTATGAACTGGGAATTTATAAATCGCTTGAAATTGGAAATAGAATTAGAAAAATGGAGTAGTTACCATTTGAACTTGAATTCACCTCAAAGAATAAGTTAGTTTGGCTTCGCTTTACCCGCTCCTTGTAAATTCCCTTAATATTCATTAGATCATTAAAACTTTCTGGCAAGTTCATTGTTCCGAGGTTGGCATAGAGCAGTAGGTGTGAGACACAAGATGAATTTTAACTATAGACATTCCGTTCAGCGATCCAACCACCATTCTTTCCTCAGAGAGCGACACAGGACTTTTAGAATCCCCTAAATCTTTGCTGAAATCGATAGCAACTCTATCACACAACATTTGTGGGTTTGTGGGAAATATGTAAGGTCAAATGCCAATAGCGAAAACGTAAACGGGAAAAGCAGGTGGCGAATAGTGGAGGTTAGTGACTTCTGACGTGTGTTTTTAGTACAGTCATTGAAGCTTTTCACCTCCGAATACTTTGAAACTGAACCGATCGACTTGAAATTTGGCAGATAGTTAGAGAAAAGGTCAATGGACATTAGTGGCATAGCGCCGATTGACGCTTCCACCCTGTTGGGGTTCACACACCTTCTCGGGGGTGGAATTTTTTTCAAAAATAACGCTGGAAAATCGATAGAGTATCAAATTTTGAGCAAAAAAATATTCGAAGAATTTTTTCGAGAAATCAATAGTTTTTTAGTTATTCAGGATTGAAAACTTGGAATTTTGAGTGAAAAAAACACTTTTTCAAAGTATTTTTCGCGAATAACTCAAAAACTACGCATTTTATTAAAAAAAGTGTAATGAACAAAAATGTAGTTTATAAATAAACAAAGAAAATCGTTTAAAAAGTGTTGTACGTCCTATACAAAGCGAAATATGGTTAGTGGAAGGTAGTCCAAACAGATGGGTTGCTCATATTTTTTAAGGAAAAATGAGCAGTAAATCAGAATTAAAATTAATCGTAGACCCTTTACAATTAGTTTTGTTTTAGTGTTTTTCATACGATCCTGAAGTTAGACCGGTTTTGAATGCGTATTTTTTGAATAATGTATTTTTCATTATTCAAAAAATAATGCCTTATTTATATAATAACTCTGAAAGTATGAAAGATACGTAAAAAATGATAGACAACAAAAATGTAGCTTTTTTTCAACAAATATTTTGCTTTTTGTATTCCTATAACATAAAAAATAAAGGAGATTTCGATTTGAAGTATTCATTTTAATGAAAAAACAACCTGTCTCGAGCCCTTCGATCCTTTCCCTTTAAAAAACGAAGGAATTAAAATCGATTTTACAGCTCTTGAAATTTTCTTTAAAATGCTTTTTTGTACGATACTATAGCTTCAAAATTAACCGAGTTATGGTAAAAAAACCAATGACAGTTTTTCGGAGCAAAATAGGCTTTCTCATCTTTATATATTATACAAATAAAATAAGTAAAAAAATTTAGTGTGATTATTTATATGCAGCGTAGCAATTTTTTTATGATTGATTATATTTAAAAATCGATTATAATAAAAATATTTTACATTACTATTGGTAAAAGGGTAGTTTATAAGAGTTGAAAATGGCAAAAGTAAAATATTCTTTCATAAACAATATAAGGGAATTTTTATTTTAAATTATTGCACAATTATAGCATTCCAAGATTTAAAACATAATTTTTTATAAGTTTTTTAGCACAGGGGTGATTTATGAGGGTTGAAAAGTGTTATGAGATACAAATTATTTCATAAGTAATGAGTAAATTTTTATTTTAAATAATTGCACCGTTAAAGCATTCCAAGCTTTTAAAAAGTAATTTTTTATCATTATTTTTTTGCATCGGGGTAATTTTGAAGGGTTATAAAGGGTCGAAAAAATCAAATATATCATAAAACATGTTTGAGAATATGGAACATTATTTAATGCTTGAACAAGATTTTTATGAATAAAATGCTTAAACCAGACCAGACCCAGTTAGCGGGAATACAAGTCATCTTCCAGAATAGATTTACATCTTTATTTGTTAATTCAATACACATGCCACTTTTACTATTATTCTTCGGTTATATGTCGTTAAGTTTTATTGACTAGGACATGTTAAGAGTGTCGTCGAATAATTAATGCGTTTTAGCTATAGGAAAAGCTCTTAAGATAACATAGGATGGGATGAAACAAAATTATAGCAGATGTAAATCTGATTTTTAAACATTTTTTAGTAATTTTCATACCCCGCCGCTGAACAGGTTAAGGTGACTTCAAACAACGCACGCGTCAGCGCATATACACTTGGCAAATGCGGTGTACATAGTTGTCAAATATCTGAATTTAAAAATATATGGTTTTACAATTTTTGTTTCTAAGTTTCTCACTATTCCCTCCAACAAATATTTTCTTACTCGGTATCTGTCGGTTGGGATAGTCCATCTGGTGTCGTCTTCTTGCAACAGCATCGCTTTCTCCTGACAAAAAGTAAGCTCTAACCATATAAACTTTTTCTTGATTCGTTTACATGCTTTTTTATAATATCGTGCAGAAACTTGAAAACGAAAACATAAAAATACACTTATACCGTCACTAAACACTGAAATAAATAACTGAACTTTATTTATTTTTATTAATTTTTATCTTGTTTCACGCAACACCATAAATTAAGATCCTTCTCTATGAGAGATTTTTTAGAAAAAAAATGCCTTTATTTGAATGTTCAACTGAAAAACAAACAAAATTAAAAGTAGACCCAAGAGAAACGCTGGCAAATTTACCGCAAATTTAACTTTGCAGATGCACTATACCGAATTGTACCCAACTATCTACCCGCAAAACTTATCGTTCCCGACGGAATACAATTGGCATTGCGCTGTACAATTTTACTATGCACTATTGGAGGATCCGATACAATTCCTCTCTAATATCGCATCCGTTTCATAGGTTTCCCATCCAGGTGGATTCCGGCCTAATAGAGGTGGTTTCTCCGTCTCCGGCGTACTATCCAAACTTCGACAAACTCCGGATAACTTTGGGCGACTCCCCGGAACGTGTTCGATGGCGTTCCAAGCAGAATCTGGACTTCGCCTTTCTGATGTCTTACTCACAGCCAAAAGGTGAGTAAGTCAGGGCAGTACTTGGGTTAAATTAAGCGTAAATTTTATTTAAATTTTTTGTATCGTCGCAGCAGGCCCATACTGTTGAGTTTGGGACATCCTGTACATTGCGACTTATTATAAAAACAGTAAAAAGTAGAAATGTATGATGGCACATCTTCATATGTTACTGTCAGCTCGGGTGTACCCCAGGGGTCCCACTTGGGCCCACTTCCTTTTTCACTCTTTGTATATGATACTGGGAAAATGCAAAATGACTGCATTATTTTTATTACGTTTTGATTTAAAGATATAACACCAACCTTTTATGATAAAAATCATTAAACATGATTTAAATTTATAGTTCAAGTCAAATTAAATCGGAAAAAACAAAAAAGTTATATTTATTTATTCACGGTACCTTAAAATAAATTTGATTCTGTCGAGAGGTGTGTGAGAGATAATCCAACCACTATTTTTATCTAAAGCTCAGCTTCAGAATCCATTTTTATCTCAAAGTTTAGCAGAGAGGAAAGCATATAAATCAAACTTGTTTGAGCACATCGTTTTGCTCTATTATGAAGGCGGTATTGCACCACCACAGTATGGCTCACTAAGCTCGTCCTGACACGAAGACATTTTATTTTCCTTGCTGCTCTATATATTACGTGTTCCACTGGATACTACATTTTCATTTTAAAAATATCCACACGTTTATTTATTAATCTCGTGTCGAATGAAATATTGCAAAATTTTAAATTATTGATTTCGCGTGAGAATTCTAGTAGTTTTTTAAACATCCTACTTCCCTGATAATCCAGAATCCAGATTCCTAGTTGTAAATGGCGAGCAGTTTATCCTGCCAGACGACTTGTTCCCGATCCAGACATATTTCACGTAAGGAAATACGGATGTACGCTTCCCACATTGTAATTCATAGAATAATCCACAGACATAAATTAAGTGGAGTAAGATTTGTAATGTTCTTGCAGGGACGTTCTACGTTCAGCTGGAGGACGACATCCTGGCTAGACCGTCGTACGTTACAGAGATGAAGAAGTTCGCCATAGAAAAAATAGCCAGGAAAGAGCCGTGGTTCGTGCTGGACTTTTGCCAGCTGGGTTTTATCGGTGAGTTTTAGAATATTACGCATACACTGCCCGACATTGTCTAGGTCATTAGTGCAGCTTGACACTTCGGTGTGTAACTTAGGCGTCGAGGTGGGGGGGTCCGGGGTTTGCCTCGTGGATCGAGATGCTTTCAAATTTCCAGCTTAATGAATTAGTTGCGATATTAAAGTCCCACAGATATTGAAAATAAATTAAACATAATCATCAATTCGCATGATTAAAAATGTAAAAGACTGTTTATTTTTATGGGCCTCTTGTTCTATAAAGAATGACGTTTTACACTTATATCTTCAACAACTGTGAATTTACAATTTTTCTGAAAATTTAATATTTCTTTCGTTCCATAAAATATACGAGCAAAAGAAGCCATTATTTTCGTCCTGGGTTTCGTCTCATCCTTAAGGGATGTCTCCCGGTTTATTACAGACATGTTTTACTATTCGCGCTGGGTCAGTTCGGTCGTTCCTTCACTTTTGAATAAACTAAGAAATGGGCCGTAAAAATGTCACAGCATCTTCGCTGCCATAAAAAATTTAACATACCCGGAAAATATTATCCGGACAGTGGCACAAAGGGTACCTGTAATAAATAATACACGTGGACTGGCTATGAAACATTTATATTTTTCTGTCAGCTGAGAAAATTATTTTCTTGTAAATTTGGTTTGACATCAACATTATAAAATAAAATTTGATTGGTTCAATAATTCATTGGTAAGGGTCAGTAAGGAAGATTTATGTGGTGGAACGGCATAGCATAAAAAAAAATAAAAAGCACTGCCTAATTCAGAAAAATGTATATTTTCAAATATAAATTTCAAAATTACTTAATTTCATACAGGGTGGTAAAATTTTTTATTGTACAATGGTTACGAGTTTTTGTCCTTCTGTTGTTCTGGGTCTAGTCTCTGTAGGGGCGGACGCGCTATTAAAAGCCCTATTTTTTGTATTGTCTGCCTTACTATTTACTGTTCTGAGGCCTAAAACATCTTTTTAGTATTAGACATTCCATCTCCAAATCTCTTATTCATACCTAACTTCATTTCATACTTACGCCGGGGAAAATATAATTTAGAGTGCTATGAGGATGATTTGACATACGTCGTTTCTACTTTTATCTTTGGCCTTACAACAAAATTTCATCAAGATAAAACAACCTTGTTACATTTTTAATGAAGTTATTCCGTACTATACCTAACCTAACCATATCCGTCAGAATTTTTTTTCGCAAAGAATTTATCTCCCCTGAAAACTGAAACGGGACTTTCCCGTCAGTTGCCTTTTGTTCGCGGCAAATTCAGGGAGTAGAATCGAATCAGTTTAATGGAACAAAGCTTGATTGAACGGACTTGATTAAGTGTTATGTATACTTTATTTACTTGTCAATTTTCACTGGGCTTTTGTTTGACTTGAAAAAGGCGCTGGTTTAGATTCATTTCAGATGTACTTATTGATTTTTTTTTTGTTTTTTGTTTCATTGTTGTGTTTCAATCGGGACGGTTTTGTCAATATTTTCAATGTATAAAAAGATATTTGATTTCTAAGTTAATAGCTACTTCAAACTTCTTTGGTATCGAAAATTATGCTGGTCTGCTAACGTGACCCAGACATCATTTTCTGGTTATTTGTACAAGACTTTTTTTGTGTTATTCTTAAAAAACGAAACAATCATTAGTAGACTGTCGCAATGGGTACTGTGGAAACAGCTTTATCTGAAATTACCATTGTTTGATCTAAAATATAAAACGAAAAATGTCTGATAGCCATATTTATCAAAAACTTGACTAAAATTTAGTGTTAAATTATATTTGCATCTATTCAATATACACAAAAAGGTAAAACCATGTATTAAACGTAAATAAAGCAATAAATTAAAACACATTTAAAGTGGTTCGTTGCAAAGCACGGAGGATATACATTTTAAATACCCAAATTAGCATACTTCGCTGCATGTAGCAGATTTACTTTATCTGTATGCAATTTAATTTCAGTACTCCAATGAAAATTTATTCCTACTTAACTAATACTTGTTTTATAAAGAAAAAAGTCTAGTTAACTTTTATATAAGCGTACTAGCTCTCCGATGAATTTATGCAAAAACCTCGGGAGCTTGGCGTACTTGTTTTGCATCGAAAAGTGTTGAATTTATCTTCCAGGGATTGCAATTATCTTCTAGCTAGAAAATACAGGGAAATTCTTGGCAAATATTAACATGTCCTGTAGAAATTTAACGAGAAAAAACAATGCCAGCGAACAAAACCAACCTGTTAATGATTGCTTGAAATTCATCAAAGAATATTTAATTTTTGGTCACCATTTTTGAATCACCCTGTAGTTCTGCACACCCAAAAAGTATTTTTATTTCACACACTTTTAACTTTTTGTCTTATATAACTTTTTATGCAGTTCTTGATAATGTATTACATGCTATTGTAAACAGAAAATAGGTAACAGTTTCTATACTCTCTTTGTTTCTTTGTTTTTCAGGGAAAATGTTCAAGAGCGCGGAACTTCCTTGGCTAATTCAATTTTTCCAAATGTTTTACAACGATAAGCCGGTAGACTGGCTCCTGGACCACTTGATTTATACCAAGATTTGCAACTGGGAAAAAAATAACGTAAGTAGTGACTTTCCTATAATCTTTCTTTGTAAGGAAAATACTTTTTCTTTATTAGAGAATTCTCAAAGCTTTGAAATTCTTTCTGTGCTATGTAATTTAGAACATTAACGGGAATTCGTATTGTTAACAAAATACATTTTCGTCCTGTTTCTTCTAAGACTGAAAAGTTCTTAATTAAAACTTTAAAGCTTTATTTTTTACGTAACTGATCTTTATACAAAAGGAAGCTTCATTAATGGGAACTTAATTCGAGGGAAGCTGCTTCTAAATTATAACCTAAAGAGTTCATCAAAATATGAATCACGGGAAAATAAGGAAATAAATACATGTCCATTTAAAATTTTAATCGATGACTGCTGCTGTTTTTTGCCTGAGTAGTTTATTACTAGCTAAGTTATTGGACGGTACAATATATCTATGGTATCGAAGAACATTGGTTAACTTCATTGTAAGATTAAATCAAAAATGTTGGCATTGATTGAATTAGTAACTTTTAAAATAGAGTTTAAAAAGTTTTAAAAAGTTACTGACAGTTCGAAATATTCAAATCTGACGAAAATTGCGATCTCTGGTACAAAATTATACTAGAACTATTTTAGTACTTAACAAAAGTTATTTCTTGAAAACAAATTGAAAGAATTAAGTAAGTGACTGTTTTGTAATATCCTCCTGATTTATTTGGGTTTTGCCCATTACATAAAAATTAATAGCGGAATTATTTCTTTTCCAAATTGCTCTCAGTTCATATTAAACTTCATTCATATAATCAAACAATTTCAAAGGTTCCCTTGAATGAAAGAATTCTTTCTTCATTTATTCTGCAATATCTGCATTCAGTCCTTGACAAAAAGGAAATATCGGCTATTTTTTGGATAGAAACGGTAAATTTCGAAGTTTTTCCTAATATTAAAGACAGTCATTTTTCGTTTTTCTGTATTTTTATATTCATAACTACTTTTCTATTATCTATTTTGGGTCATCAACTTTAATTTTAATTTAATTAAAAGTTGATGAACAGAACCATAGGACGGAAAAGCCGAATCGTGCTGGAAACAATTGGATTTTGTTTTCTTCAATGTCGAATTTCGAAAAATTTTTCAAAAATTATTCGAAATTTTTCAAAAATTTTTGGAATTTTTTTTTTATCAATTTAAACGTTATTTGCGGTAAAAATGTGAAAAAACCTCAAAAAATGTTTTTTCCATTTTAATCATGATTATGAAATAAATAAATAAATATATTACCCTTTTTTTCCTGTTTTTTTTAAATTTTTTTTCGGAAAAGTTGCGGCAGCATGTTGTAGAAAACTACAAGTTCGTCGAAAATTTTCAAATATATCACTTTTCAAGTATAAATCAGAATAATCACCTAAAGTCTTTATGTTAAATGTTTTCCAAACATTAAAAGCATGCTGATAATCTTCATCTTTAATGCACTCATCATGCAATTGACTATAGAAATTTGTTTTTGATGGTAAACAAGTCTCAGTGAGTTTTTCCCACGAATCAATATAATCGTAAGGAAAAACACCTTTTCTTGTTAATAAATCAAATTCTTGATCAGTGTTACAGTAAGCTCTAACAGTGGTTTTCTTTTCATTTTCCAAATAAGAAGATAATTTGTCAAGACTGCTAGCCATAAAACGGAATGAGTCGATGAATCGTAAGTGTACATCAGTACCTTCAACCGTTTTAGTAAATGAAATATATTTTTCTTTATTAACTGGTAATAACCGAATTGGACCTGCAAAACCAGTAGCTAATTGTTTAATTATAAAATTTGCATCATAACCGCTTAAATTATGAAAAACAACAGGTATATTAAATGAGTTTTGATAATTTAGATTACAATCTTGATGAGCAGCACCTCTGTATTTTGATGTAAGATGGCAATGATCGCGAACTTTGATATCTTTCGATGTAAATGGTTTGGTACATATATGACAGCTTGTTGCAGTAGCATAATTTATTTCTTGCTCGAATGATAAAGTTTCCATTTCTTTTGGATTTTTAAGAATACTATTAACATTTAATGCAATATCTTGTAGTTCTGAAATAAACCATTTTATACAATCATCTCCTCGATGTAGTTTCAGGCTTGATAAATTATTATCATATGAGCATTTCAAATAATATGCCACACTGAATGGTGTATGCTTTTGATAATTAACTGAATTGGAGTTTTCTACTCCCAAGGTTTCACACGGTTCAAAAATACTTTCAAGATCAGCATATATCACAAAAGGTACCTTTTCTTTGTAACTGAAATGTTTGAATTGTATGTGTAAAACTGCCCTTCAATTTTCTGTACGGCCATTTGTCGCCGAGATATCGATGATTCTTTTCCATTAAAAGTCCGATATTTCCATTAAAAAGGTCGTATTGAAATTTAAAGAAAAGGAAATCGAAGCTGAATAAACAAGCTATCTGGTTCATGCAATAACTTAGCTGAAAAAATAATTTCCAATTCCATAGCAAAAATTTTTTTTCGCGGTATTTTTTACAATTACATGACAATCGTAGCTCCTAAAAATTTTCGACCGAAAGATCTAAGAACTAGAATCTTAGAGCTTCAAAATGCTTTTTTTTAATTCCCAATACGACCATTTTTCACAACTACAGTGTGTCAAAAATCACTGAAAAATTTCGGAAATTCTTTTGACCCTTTAATTGTTTGCATTAGTGTAATGAGATAATAAATTAATACAAAGTTTTAATTTATGTTGCTGGAGCCGTAATTGTTTATTTATTATACCTCGATTCCGATATTAATAATCGAAAATTTTGTAATATTCGCGTATCACATAAAAAAACTAATATAACTCTAAAATGTATTAACCAAAACACTACAATGCACTTTCAAACCGTTTTTATCAACTGTTTGTATGGTTTAATACGATAGTCATAAATTGGTTAAATGAAAAATGAATAATTAAGTTTTAATTTGAATTCAAAACTGTGACAAACCGAATTTAGTATCGATTTCATTCAATTTAAGTTTTATCCGTTTTTTTTAATTGAGCAGACCCCTCAAACTTTACTTTTTTAATTTCTAACCATGGACAACACCCTTGCAATAGTACGAGGCATACCCACAAAGTAAAAGTACTGAGATCCTGATGCTCTGTAGTTTTTGTTTTCCATAAATCTGCCAACACTGCAAGGCGAAGGTGTTAGGAGTAAAACGCGCGCCATTTGTCGCGGTCAGTTGAGGACTGTTGTTGTAGTGGCGTGTTGAAAATGAGTACCCCTATTCCGAACCCTGCTAGCTGCGTGAAGAAGAGCGTAATCTGGTTTCCTCTTGCGAAGAGAAAGGTATCGTACGTACTAATGTTGTGTCGAAATTACAAAGCTGACAGAACGAATGTTCAGTACTTTTATATTGTGGATATGCCTCGTTGTTTAGAATGTAACATTGATGAGATGATGAGTTAAGTAAGTTAGTTTTGAACAAAAATCGTGGAACATTTTTTCCAACTAAAACCATGGAAAAAGCAGGAACAAATAATGATTTAATGTTTTCTGTTTGACACATCTGGTAGATTCGTGACTTATAAGCATTGCGGTACAAGAAATACTCGTATACCCTGAGGAGAGGGTCCAGCAACCATACAAATTTAATGCCCTGGAGCTACGTGGACACGCCTTAGAATGTCTCGAAGGTACAGGACCCTCCTCGAGAAATTTTATGGCACTTCCTGACCTCGGCTTTCCCTTTCGGCTTCAAGATCTAATTAAAAGTGTTCCTGGAAGTTCATAGGGCTCGTTTAATTAACCGGGTTAGGGTAACGGCGATAATTACGAAACGGTCTCCGTGGAGTCGCAGCGCGCCGTATTTCACCCACAAATAGAAATATTCGTCACGCGGAAGGACGTGTCGTTTGCGGCGTATGTCGGCTGAATTAAAATTAATGGACTTGAGAGCATCGGGTGCTGGTTGATGTAAAAATATTTTAAATCAAGTGGATCAACTACTCGTTGAAATTAATTTTTTTCCTATTTGGGAATTTTCACACTACTTTGAGGTTGACAGGTTTCAGAGAAATTGGCAGTAGGGTCAAAGGCTGATTCCAGGATTTTTTATGTGGTTTCAGCCATTTTATCTGCTCCCACTATAGTAAATAGCCTAATAGGTACATTGTTTTAAATAGTCCAGGCGCTATTTGTTTTAAAAAGGGTATACTTGGGTAAAACGCATATGATCGGAGATTTTTGCTTTAACGGCTTCTAAATAACATCAGAAATGATCATTTTTCTATGCAAATAAAAAAAAACGTGGGTTTAATTGTTATTGCAAAAAAGTATAAAAAATAGCAAAAAAATTCATTTTTTCTTGGATTTCTCGTCGACAACTTAGCAACCATTCATTTTAGACAAAAATGGAAGAGGGAAAAAAGTTTTGTAATTAAATTTTGAACAAGATAGAGTTAGTTGCAATTCGAAAGAAATCATTACTGTTATTGCAAAAATCAGAAAAATCATTTAAAAGGTTTTTTTTAAATACTCGTCTTTCCGAGTACTTTCAAGCCATATTTTAAAATTAAAAAAAAATTGAAAAAAATATTAAATTATTGCAATTGTTTATAAGCGTGAATATTGCGAAAATGTTTTTTCAAAAAGCATTTTAAAGTTTGAGAGCTCTTCTTTTTGTGGTGAAATTTTAACGGCTTCTAAATAACGTCAGAAATGATAATTTTTCTATGCAAATAAAAAAAAACCTGGGCTTAATTGTTATTGCAAAACAGTATAAAAAAAAGCAAAAATATTATTTTTTTCTTGGATTTCTCGTCGACAACTTAGCAACTATTCATTTTAGACAAAAATGGAAGAGGGAAGAAAGTTTTGTAATTAATTTTTGAACAAGATAGAGTTAGTTGCAATTCGAACAAATCATTATTGATATTGCAAAAATCGGAAAAAATCATTTAAAAGGGTTTTCTTTAAATACTCGTCTTTCCGAGTACTTTCAAACAATATTTTAAAATAAAAAAAAATTAAAAAAACATTAAATTATTGCAATTGTTTATAAGCGTGAATATTGCGAAAATGTTTTTTCAAAAAGCATTTTAAAGTTTGAGAGCTCTTCTTTTTGTGGTGAAATTTTCAAGTATTCAAAGGCTTTAGATTTTTAGAAATTTGATTTTGAAAATTTTNAAAAACATTAAATTATTGCAATTGTTTATAAGCGTGAATATTGCGAAAATGTTTTTTCAAAAAGCATTTTAAAGTTTGAGAGCTCTTCTTTTTGTGGTGAAATTTTCAAGTATTCAAAGGCTTTAGATTTTTAGAAATTTGATTTTGAAAATATTTTAATTTTAAAAAAGAAAAAATTTAAACAATTACTATGTAAAAACTATCGAACTTTGAGCCGGTTTGATGCATACTGATTCCTGTTAAAATTATTATTATGTCCTTTGGCCGAGGAAGAAACCCCACAGAAATGAATACATCGTCCCTTTTACCACGTTCTTGTAAAATTGATCTCCAAACAAAACGCATACATTAACATCTTGCTTTATGTTAATTATGTACTTCTTAACGATTTATAAAATAACAGAACATTCTTATCAATCAAATGGTTTATCCTAAGTGGGTATATTTTCTTAATATATGTATTATCTCGCAATAAATTGAGACTTAACTGAAATAAATCAGTGTAATACCCCCGTCATATGCAAACATAAATAAAGTAAGGGATAAAAATGGATTTTTTTTTTAATTTATAGTCGACTTGCCCAAGTTTTCCGTCGCGATAAATATGCCTCAATAATTTAAAGAAAATGTGACATCCCCTCCTTTTATTAACTGCCTTTGTCTTGAAGATTTCTAATCATAAGTAATTTTACTTGTTCTATACTTTCTCTCCATATCCTTTTATTATCAGACTCTTTAAACTCAGGAATCTACATCAACCCTGTGTTAATCATTGATAATTAATGTGACAAGTGGGCTGATGATAGGAAATACCCGATATATCATTTATTACTTTTCCCGTCCGTCGCCGAGGAACCCCTATTTCAATATATCTTCCCTTAGTGCCATTAATTCCTCAGCCTTTTCGTTTTCCCTTCTGATTTCCTTTATGATCCCTATGATTCGGTCTTCTAAGTTGACATTGTTGCAGCGTCGTTTGGATAAGCATTAATTTGACTATTTCTACCATTACTACGTTTCCTCCTAGTCTGCAAACCACTTTATCTTATTATCCTTCCGAAACAAAGTTAAACAACATTGTGGCTAATGGGTATCATGGCGTCATAAACCACTTTTAACTTTGAAACTCCCTTAATGGCCAATTACATTTACGTCACACACCAAATTCTGTTTAATGTCATATTGTTACCTAATTCTTTGTATGCAATGTACAACAAACAATTTAAATTAAATAAAACATCCTCCAAAGACAAAAAATTATATTGAAAAGCTGTTGCAAGCACTAGAATCAGACAATGACGTACAACTACGAGGTTGCGGCGTTACAGGAGCAGTCTATCGAGGGCGGGGTTATATTTCCTAGTAGATAAAGCACCGAAATAACTTATCTGTGAGCGTGCCGTAAAGTTGATGACCGGAAAATTGAAGTAAACTACTTTTACTTCAAATTGATTTAGGCTTCGATATTGACGCTGCAAGGTGCCGAGAACAAATGGGGTGGTTTCTGGTTGAGATACGCCAACCGAAGTTTCAACTCGACAGCTTATAAAAGATTTATGGTGAGGTGCCTTACTTATTCATGATAGGTACTAAAACTGGATTATAGTACTTTGTTTTTGCAAATATTATTTATTTAGTTGACTTGCATTTTCAGTTTTTTTATAATAACAGTCATTTCGGATCTGTTTACATTTCCTTATTCATAAATAATGAAAATAGACTTACGAAATATTTGCAGCTGCAGGAAAAATGACATCCATCTTGTTATACAAAGTTTAAGTTTCCCTAACCCAAACTTTTAAGAAGATCGAGCTGTTCAATTGATGGATACTTGAAACTTATAGGTATCTCATCCCCTGCCTTTTGAGCCATAATTAGATTCTGCCAACTCCCTTAACTTGTGTTAAGTTACTCGAGGTAACAAAGTTTTAAAGGACAAGCACGGCAAAAAGTACTTATCCGTTTATATTCTATCTGTGTTTACGTTTTTTTCTTTAGAATATTTTTCCTTTATTCTCCATTTCAACGGACCTGTTCCATTTTTTACCAAGCAAAGAAGGGTTTTGATCTAATTGCCATCGTCTGTATCAAATTGGCCGAGTTGACGTTTGAACACAGTCCAGAATCCTCCAGTGGGGTCTGCATTGAATTTGAGTATTTGGCTTTCGTAAAATTTGGGGTTATTTTATTTTCCAAATATCCTGAAGTGTGGTGATTTTTTTCGCGCTTTTATACGTTGTGGGCGATGCTTCAAAGCTCGGTAACGCAACAAAATCCTAGCACAACTGATGATACAAGCTAAAATAAAGCGCGTCGTTAATTTTGCACTGTTTTCAATCTAAAATGGGCCACAAAGTACTCAATTGGACTTTTTCCTTCAGAGACTTATTGCCAAATGCATTTTCTATCTCACAGTTAATAGATCGTAAACATCAATTCCAGTGCCACGGTTTATGTACATTGTATACTTAGACTCGGCCATTCCACTGTATCTTTTTATTGCCTTTTCGTTGTCCTTTATTGCATGCATTAAAAGAACCGTCTGAACTTGAATTAAAATTGCATCGTATATACTTAGAAAGTGCAAAAATAGAGGCAATAAAAATTATGCTATTATTAAAGTTCTCGTAGGAACACCATCTTTTTGGAAAGCATGATTGATAAATAATTCTTTCCGGTTATTTGTGCAAGGATTTGAACCAAGTTTAATATATTTATTGCTTCTTTGTTCATTCCAAAATAACGAGCGTTCAAATAAAAACGTGGTCAAGTTAGTTCTGAAAATTTGGACGTGGGGCGTAGCGTATAGCAAATGAACTTAAACGTCATCTGTCAAAGCGCTATATCGCCGCTATCAATTTGAATATTTTCGTTTTAAAAAGCGTTTAAAATGGTGTTTTCTCAAGAACAAAAAGTGTTTATCATAGAGTCCTACTTTAGAAATGGACGCAAGATTGATGGAATATGGAAGTATTCTATTGAGGAATGTTTCATAGAATTTCAAAATCAATTTCCCGGCGTTGTTGAGTACAAAATTTTTCAAAGTGCAGTTCAGCGTTGTGTTAATGTTTTTCGTGAAACGGGCAGTGTAACAAGAAAAGAAGGAAGCGGCCGACCTAAAAAGCGGACTGAAGAATTAAAAGAAAATGTCCAACAAATAATGGAAAATGCGCCAAGAACTTCTGTACGTGTTTTATCACAAATGGTGGGAGTATCAGTCGGTACCTGCCACACAGTGTTAAAAAAAGATTTGCGTTTGTTCTCCTATCGTTTAACTTGTCAGCAAGAACTTCATGAAGTTGATTTTCCGCGACGGGCTGTATTTTGTGAATGGTTTTTAAACAACTACGGTGAACTTCATAATATCACCTTTTTTTCTGATGAAGCCTGGTTTCATTTAAGTGGTTACGTAAACTCACAGAATATGAGAATGTGGTCTTCTGAAAAACCAGATAACTTTTTTGTCGAGGGCCCTCTACACGCTCAAAAAATTGGAGTTTGGTGTGCTCTCAATCGAAGGAGGATTTATGGACCTATTTTTTTTAATGGTACTCTTACTGCGCAAAGGTATAGAGAAGAAATTATCGCTCCTTTTGTTAACCAGCTGGAAGAAAACGAAATTACAAACTTTTACTTTCAACAAGATGGCGCAAGGGCACATACGGCAGGCGAGACGATGAATATGTTGAGGGAAGTTTTCCAAAATCGACTAATAAGTCTCAATGCTGAACATGAATTTCCACCGAGGTCATGTGATATTACGCCGTGTGATTTCTTTTTGTGGCCTTACCTTAAAAACACTATTTTTGAACTGCCTATTCCTGATTTAAACCATCTGCAGGCTCGACTTATAGACAAGATTCGTGAAATTAACAATACCCCGAGCATCTTAGAAAATGTCTTTAATTCTTTGAGGAACAGGTGTGAAAAGTGCTTGGAACAAGGAGGGGGACACTTTCAGCAGCTGCTTTAATTTATTGTTATAACAAGGAGGGGGACACTTTCCGCAGCTCCTTTAATTGTTTGTTATTGTTATCACGATTATTCTTTAAAATAAAGTTATATAGTCATTAACGTTATTGAAACTGACAGCTGCTATACAGCTCGTTGAGAAATGAGGTTAAGTTGTCCGCTATAAGCTACTCCCTACGTCCAATGTGTCAGAGCCAACTTCGACCACGTTTTTATTTGAACGCTCGTTATAAACAAGTAATGCTGCAGATTAAATAATAGTGTTTGGTTCTGTTGTAGACATTTTTCTGACCCAATGGACAAAATTGGCAATGTTTTGGTTGTTATTTATGATTACAATAGAATGCAACTGGACTAGTGTATTACTTCTGTACTTGAGCACAACACAACTTGAAAAAAGTCATTGGCGCACCATTTTTTCTCAATAAATACCTTCGCTATACTTTTCACATAAATATCTAAATCCTGGCGCGAGAAAGATTGCTTAAATCAAGACTATGATACTTTAACCCAACTTTGATTCAAGAACATTTTGTTACGTGTACTTTTGCGTACATTAAATAAACAAAGGTCCAGTTAAACGTGACACATAAATTTTGCTACAACATACGTGCAATATTCCATTCTCCGTGTATCCAAATAAATTTCCTATCGAACTGTATGGCCATTTGTATTCAAGACTATCAGTCTGCATGCACACTGCACCCCTAATCAGCCCGTCCATTTGTTACAGGACAACTGCAAGAGAGATAAGGCGAAAATGTGGATCCACTACAAGCCGTCCCTCTTCCAGCACATCGGGACCCATTCGTCTCTGAAAGGCAAAGTTCAGAAGCTCAAGGTAGGTGATCTGAATACGGGGCACGTCGGGATTCGCGAAAGAACGCAATTTCACCGATCAGAGACGAGAACGGCCGCGGAAGGTGTAACGGGCATCAGATAAAATAAATTCTGAACGATTTTTCAATTACAGTCTTAGGTTTCGATGTTATTACCACTGCAAGGAGGCTCCGGTAGTGAGCCACAGATAAATTTAATGAGTTACTTTTTCTCTTTAGAATCTTGTTTACTGAAAAAACACACAATAACGGATTATTACTACTATGTCTGTTTGGAAATGAAACAGAGTAATAAAACCCCGAGATAAGAACCAGCCATGGGCGTGGTAATATTTCGTTTCAGGTAATTATCGAGTAACATTAATGCTAACAGGTAATGGGTGTACATTAGTATATTTTACTGGATACATCTTAGGGCAGGAGCCAGTGTATTGTGACATATCAATCCAGTCTTAGGGCTGAATATACGAAGACGTGCTAGTGCAGTAGAGTAAAATTCGACTTGTGTTTAGTGACGATTGTGCCAGTGGATATAATATTGTTTGGGTAAAATGTCGAGCTTATCAGATTACGTACCTGCTGAACGCGTGAAAAGATGTGCGCTGTCTCAGAATGAGAAGATTATTATATTAAATGTATTTAATGCATTGAAACACCAAAATCCTACCAACAGTGTTGACGACATCGTGGAAAAGTGTTCCAAA